AAAATACTTGCATGAGTCCAGATATTCGAAGGTAGCGATGATAAAACGAAACAAAAGATGAAGTAGAAATAAAAGTACGGAGGATGAACAAGGAAGCAAAGAGCGAAACGCGTTTCGCAGTGACTACACAGCTGTTGCAGATGAGACACAGCAGACACAGCTCACCCGAAATTGTCCACGTGACGCGTGCAAATAAAAAAGAAGCATATCCGATACGGCCGGTCAACGGCTATCGTTTGCACGACAAAAATCGCCACCAATTCTCCGACAAGTCCACAAGCACCTGCCTCACGAGTCTGTCATAAATACCACCGCCAATTAGACCTCTATTCAATCGCCTATACGTTACGAAGAAAATTTAACTCACGACGCGGTACGTTGCCAATCGCTCTACGTGTACATCGATATACCTGGTCGTTGAACGATTCGCGTGGATTCGACGCGAAAATTCGCGACTACGCAGAGGTTATGACGCACTACACGGTTCAATCGCGAGAAGAACGCATCGCCGCTCGTATACGCGGGCTGTATCATCCTCGACGAGCGATAGAAAACAAAAGAGATACAAAGCACGGAATCTCGATAAATATCGCGTTGTTAATCATCGAGGCACGATGAAAACTTCCTGCGCGTAATCCGCGTGCCGTCCAAATGGAACCATGACTGTAGCCCAATTTCTGTCTTTCGCCGTGCTCCTCCGCCCACCGTGTTTCCCGTCTCCAGGCAACCGAAGCTTGCGACTATCCGTGTGTATATGCGCGCGTGTTTCTCTCTACATACAGATAGTCTCTGGTTTGCTTGTCGGCTATAGTGCGTTCGCGTGTACATATAACGTCACGTATACAGAGAAATGGCATCGATTGCCCTTTAGGCAACGGGCGCATGGACCTGTATTATGTGCTCGCCAATTCCCATCGACTCGTACGCGCTCGATGATATGTTCCATTAACGGTTAATTTGATTGTAAAATCGGAACGTCTGGCGGAACAACTAAAAATACGTTTGATTAGTTGCGTGCCGTGGCCAGCCGATTAGGGTATTACCTTCGCTTCGGTCGCGGATACATTGATCAAGCGGAAATAGAGTTTAATCGAACAAGATGAGAGTGGATTTATATCTTGAAACTTGAATGTCTGGGAATTTCAGCTACGGGTGTACCTTGTTTACATATCTTTATTTCTCGTTTAAGCTTTTTCTTTTTTCTTTTTTTATCAGATCTTACATTTTATCGTCACAGTATGTAACTTTTCTATTCGTACGAAAGTACGACTAAACGATATGAAAAATATAGCTGGTCCGGACTAATTAGCGCGTCGATGTTACGATAAATACAATGCTATGCAAATAATGTCTGTGGTCACTGTATGGTATACTGTTTTGTGGTCAAACGAGAGAAAATAGAGAATCGGAAAGAGACGAGAAAATATACGTCGTTCTAATCGAAAGTTTGTTTTCTTGATATTCTGGGTTTTATATGGGTTCGAATGTTTTTCAAGTTACAGAATGCTTCGAGTACTCGGAGATTCGTGACTATTTCTCTTTCTTTTAGGTAAAATATTGAAATCTCTTAATGTCCGAGTTAGAGTTACCGCGAGAAAATGGTCGTTCAACGAATTATATGCATAAAATGTATATCGAGGAAACGTCGTTACCGTTGCTTATTTGCTGAATGTAGCGAAATATAGGCGTCTGGATGTTTTATCGGTGGTTTCGCATCGATGTTTTACAAATTGGAATCTATAAACTGCTTAAACATATTTTGTACAATTTCCCTCCGCGAATTAAACAGGAAAACGATTTAACGTTGATTTAATGAAAAAGAGCCATATATATTTTTCAAAACATAGAGATGTTAACACTCTTCTTTATTAATCTTTCGAACGGGACAGATACGTTAGTAAATGATAAAATGGGAAAATTGACGTTGTCGAAGATAGATATCCAGAATCGATTTTTATTTCAAAACAAATACCGTGCATATTACAATACATCCCGATAGCAATTATCGAATAGATTTTGCGTTACAGCTACTGAACGAGAAACTTTGAATACTGTTTATTCATCCATTGATCGCTACATATGTAGTTTCAAACGCATGCCACAATATCGCACGATCGTTTATTGCGAATACAAATGTACAATAGTGGCGATTATGCCCATCAAGAAATGCCAATTGAAATCAAGATAAAGTCGACCGTATCGATGCGTTTCGATGGTTAAAAAAATGCCAAAAATATCAGAAACGACGAATCAGTAATTAAAATTTTGACCGAGAATTGTAAATTATTTCTAGGTTTGCTAACAATTGATTTGTAGTTCTCGAACAGTACAGCGTGTACTAGACGTCTAGACGGACAAAAATGTTCGTTTCATCTTTTTGCATTTCATTGAAATATTATATTATAAGATCCACTCGTTGAAATTGGACGAACCGTAGTAACGCGGCAGATGTCTAATTCGTTTCCTTTCTATAAATTATCCGCAGACAGTTTTTATCGTTAAGGAGTTGTTTATCGCCGGCAAAGTTGCGCAGAGTGGGACAATATTCGTCTTGCGTAACTTCCACGAGTCAATACGATACCAAAAACAAGAGTTGAAATATCTTTAGTTTCATCGAACTAAATACACGCCGATATTTACCTCGGTGGTGGGTGAACTTCTTGAAACTGTAAACATCCGAATCAATAGAAAATTCGTACTTCATGGAAACTGGATCAGAAAAGAACGGAAAAATGCTTAAAGTTTCCGAGCAGATCGCTAATAATTCAAAACAGGACATTCTATTTATCGGAGGGATCAACGCTTGTCGCGTTAGCTTTCTACGTTTGAAATTAATTTAATTTTAGAAGACTCGTTGTTATCGACAGTTTCGCGTTCAACGTTTTAGACCGAATTAACCTGTGTGACGTTAAGATTTAGGATAATACGTAGGATAATACGTAGGATCAGAGGAACGGATAGATCATGCGTATGAATCGAAGCGAATCATTAAATACGCAAGATATCTAACAGGTGGCGCCGGTATTCTAAATAAGTATGCAAATTTCCACGTAGATTCCGTTTCTTTGATTCTACTCGTAAAGAGAGAAACAAAAACCCGTGATCTGTCGACGATCGCTCATCTTCTTCGTTTTTCAAAAGAGAAAAAGGAAAAAGGAAATCCAAACAAAAAAAAAAAAGAAAAAAGGAAGATACGAATTCTCCAGTAGACAGAACGAATATCATCCAGCGCTGATTTTTTAGGGAGGCGGACGATCGAAAAAAAAAAAAAAAAAACAAA